ACTCCCTGGGGAACAACTTGCTTGTTCTTGTAGTAGTCAATTGGACTACTGTTGTTGGTGTTTTTTTCCTTGCTGGTCTTTCTTTCAAGAAGCATCTTCTGTTCTTCTAGCTGCTCTAGACTGGTCTGCTTGTCCTTTCATGTGGGAAAATCCCACCTCAGAAGATTCTGGATGATGATCAGGATTCCAGCTAAGGTCTTGTGCAATGCAAAGGCTCTGCAGGGAACCTCCTTCACTGGGCAAGTTGTAGCCCCATTTTAGTTATTCCAAACAGTTATAGGCTGAAGACGGATTTACAAGTTTTCTCTGGTAATGTTTCTGGCTATTCCTCTTGCTCCCCTTTAAGTGTCTATTTTACAATAGTAGGCAAGAGAAACCAAGATTCAACAAACAGCCAAGCATCTTAACGTCATTTCCCCACTTTTACCCATTCAAACCATGCCTCAATCTTTGTATCCACGAGCCCTGTTGTTCCATGTTTGTGCTTAGATCATTATTTACCTCTGTCCCCTTTAGCCCATGTAAACCTGCCTAGCTATTCTCCCATCTGCCTTATTTTTCCTTTCCCCTTCCCCTTCTAGTGTATTCCACAACCCCAGCACCAAACTATCCTGCATCTATTCCATATACCCTGTGTTCCACTATCCTGTGCCTATTCCCTACTCTGTGCTGCACCTTCCCATCCCTCCCTCTAGCCCCACCCCCTACACACTGGTAGTCAACAACAACAACAACAGAAAATATAATAATAATAATAAAATTGAAAAAATGTGTATATTTCTTTTGGATAAATACCAAGTAGAGGAATTTCTGGAATATAAGGTATGTCTATTTCCAACCTTCTGAGGAAGCACTGTATTGTTTTCCATAGTTGTTGGACCATTTTGCAATCCCACCAGAAATGTAGGAGGCTCCTAGTCTCTCCATATCCTCACCAACACTTATTTTCCCCTACTTTTTTGATCTTTTCTATTATTGTTGGTGTGAGATGATATCTCATTATTGTTTTTATTTGCATCTCTATAATGGCTATTGATCATGAATATTTC